ACCATTCGGCTATTTGTAGCTATAGACGAGGGGCGTGGCTTATGGGCTAGCTTAGCGTGGAAAGTTTATTTATACGATTCACCTTCTCAGTATAGTCTTATATGTGTAAATTCTGATTAAATATTGGCACATTCAACCTCATCGTTGATTGGTTGTCGGCTTGTGGAGCCTCGTCGTTGATTAGTTATTGGCATGTTGAACTTCATCGATGATTGGGTAATGTCATGTTTGCTCTTTATACTTCAGACCTGTTGGATACGTTTATCGGTAAGTACCGCAGTACCAGGACTGATTAGCCGGTCTTAATAAGTAGTTGAATATGGTTGAAGTAAGAGAGGTATAATAGCGGGTCTTTGTTGATGTTATAATGCATTCAGTGATCATGCTGGTGGTCCTATAAACATTGTAATCGTTCCTCCACAGCAGAGCAGTGTCTCGTGTATGTTTCTTGTATACACTCGAATGTAGTTTATTTTAAGCATTAAAGTATGTATTAAATTTTTATAGTTGTTTAGTTTATGAACTGATTTGATTGTGCAAGTTTAAGCAGTTTAATTGTAGTAAAAATATATATCTTAATATTCAGTTGTTGATAACCTAGAATACAGTAGCTAATACATTATTAAACCAACAACATGGAAACACACGAAAACAACAATGTTTAGTCCTATTGACGCTCAACAACCCAATACTTGCGTACCTTATATTATAACAACTTGTCTGGTGTAGGAAGTAAGAGTTGGTGATGGCGGTTATAATCCCTGGCTGTTGAAGTTCTTAATTACATTAAAGATCAACAAAAAATTGCCCTTCCTTTAAGATAATAGCATTAGCACTATTACCAGTGAGCCGGACTTGAAACTCATGCATGCTTAATTGGTAAAGAGATAAGGTAGAGTGAATTGTGAGTAGCTTATCAGTGAGCAGTGAAGGCGGCATTAATTCGAGGGCATTTAAAAGCAGGGTCAGGTGGAGGTTATCTGCGTTGTTGCAAACCCACAGGTTCCTGCCCAGCCTTTCATATTGGCCAATATTTCACGAGCGGCGTCTGTCATCAGGAACCGACCATTGAGAAGGAGACCCGGCCGTCTGTCATCAATAACCGACCAATGAGCAGGAGGCCCCGGTGGTGCCCGTGACTCACACCATATCAGATAACCTAAAATATGGGAAGACCGAAATGCGAGTCTTATTCTAACTCCGATTTTTTTTAGGTATATAATAAATCTAAAGCTTATCGCTTCTGTATACAGTGTTGCTCCGTTGAAATAACGCCTCATGTTTTTTCTAGTTTATTATTATTATTATTATTATTATTATATATATATATATATATATATATATATATATATATATATATATATATATATATATATATATATATTAACAAACCTTTAAATACTAGCAGTGCATTAATTTAACATTAAATAATTGACCGTCTACATCTTTAATATTGTAGTATGTCAACAATTGATAGGCTTAATTTTATTGATGAAAAATCGAACATTAAATTTTCAGTGAAGGTTAATGTATATTTTACCTTCCTTCTCAGGTACAGTACAGTATACAGTATTATCTTGCTAGTACGTCCAATCTTGCCTCTACTTCCGCTACAACTTTATCCTGTGTTACAATATCCTAACAAACTAACTATTTTTTCCATTCATTTTTAATATTTCAGTTATCGTTGAAGGGAAGTAATTCACATCACACTGAAGCGTCAAATTAGTAGTATAACACCATAAGGGGAAGTGGAGGTGTATCAGGGTACGGACGTCTACCTGCTGCTGATCATATTACAGGTGTTGTCCCCCGCTCCCTCCTCACCGTTAGTAATACTCTTGTTGAGAGAACCACAGCCACGAGTATATCGTTTCTTGTTCTGACAATTATAAATAACTAACCTCCGTTTAATTATCACCGCTCTAATGTTCATATTGTGTAGATTAAATATCAAAGAACCGGTTTGGGTGTAAACTTTTGGAATACGACGTAAGTTAAAGACTAATTTTGATCATTGATGTACGATACCAGCTGGTGGATGGTTCTTGTTCTACAACGGAAATGACCATGATATATTTCTCATAATACGACCTCCTTGTTGATAGTACATAATTAACGGTAGTTTACGGTGGTAATAATTATGAATAATTGTTCATCAAGTGCTACACACGCCAGCTTCACTTGGCGCACCTCAATTGTCTGTGAGAAATGTGTAAGTTTTTCTCTGGCGGTGTGATGGACACGTCTCGGTGCTGGACACGTCCTCACAAGGGCGCTCGCCGCTGTCATAATTTTCATATACTCCGGTAAGGAAGTGTTGCTGGAGGTACACGCTGATACTACTAAGATTAACGAGGGAAGTGGACGATATATAGGACCTTCGTCTTCATAATTATGGGCCCAGTTAAATTTGTATAGCCCCTTATACGTTGTAAACGTATACATTGCTATACCTGTGTTCTATATACAGTACTGTTATAAAATTACCCATAAGATTATCACATCATCTTTTATAAGCGTCGAAAATTTAGTAGTTCATTAATGGTTTCAGCCTCACACACATTAGTCGCTTCTGTCACCGTCAAGTAAATGAACCAACAAGTTCACCTTGCTGGAACAGGTTATCAGTATAGGAGCCTGCTTGTGTACAGCCTCCATCACTACACCTGGCAGAGAAAACGTAACCCGTTTGATGCTCTCATCTTAAAACAGGGCTCTATGTATTTTCTCTTATTATTTTATGTTACGTTTCTGAGTATATTTATTCCATGATCACGGTTACTTTAAGGGGTCCTTTTGCATTGATATACATTATGGGAGAATATAAATTAGTCAGCCCATGTACGGGTTTGTGTGTCAGTTGTCAACAGGTTTATTAATGTCTCCGTATTGCATCACTTATTGTGTGTGTGTGTGCGCGTGTGCGTGAGAGAGAGAGAGAGAGAGAGATGACAATCCCAACCGTGTAGACAAGCATTGGTAGTTGTTCTTGGTACGTTTCAGCTGTTGGGGTCATTTGCATTCTTGTTATGCAAGCGTTGTTGTTGTTTATGTTGTGCGTGTTGTAACTGCCATAATGGTTATTAAGTATCATTAACCGGTTCTGTGTCATTTATTGAGTGGGTGATTATACAAGCCGTTTAATGTATAGTGATTTTCGTACCCTTATTCTTGTCTAATAAAAGACCTAACTTAACCTAACCTAACAGAATGTAATCAATCCATAGAGCCAAAACCATATCTAACCTAATCTCGTTTATCCTAACACATAACATAACCCTCTCTTCCTCTCTTTCCTTCATCTATCCCTCCCTCCCTCCCTCCCTCACTCCATCTTTTCATTCACTCTCGCTCTCTACCTCTCCATCATTTCATTCACCCTAACTCACTTCCATCATCCTCCCTCTCTTCCGCCTTTCTTTCATGTCTCCCTCTCTCTCCATCATTTCATTCACCCTCGCTCTATTCCTTCATTTCGCCCTCCCTCCCCCCCCTCTCTTCCTCCGCTGCCTTGGAACTATCAAACGGTGAAATAATTAATGAAGTACTGTACTGGACAGCAACTTGAGCTGGGGTTGTAATTATGTTAGTTTGTTGTTTGTAGAACCTAGTGTGGGTGTGCGGTTATGGGGAAGATGTGTGCGGTTATGGGGAAGAGGTGTGCGGTTATGGGGAAGATGTGTGCGGTTATGGGGAAGAGGTGTGCGGTTATGGGGAAGATGTGTGCGGTTATGGGGAAGATGTGTGCGGTTATGGGGAAGAGGTGTGCGGTTATGGGGAAGATGTGTGCGGTTATGGGGAAGAGGTGTGCGGTTATGGGGAAGAGGTGGTTCTGGATTTTTTACTTCTGATATTGAAACAGTTTATTTAGCCAGAAAAAATAGATACAGAGTCGATAATAATAACAAAATTTACATGTGTGAAATTCAGTTCCTTAGGCTCCTTTGGCTCTGAAACAACACCTCTCACATGCAGGGTCGTTTAGGGACGTGCGAACTGCGGGAACTCAGAGTTTAAGCCTAACCTAATCTTGAAACTTCATCTAGCCTTTACCAAAAATTTATGCTGAGCTCACCTAACCTAACCTTACCCTTAACCTGAAACCTAACTTAGCTTTGACCAAAAATTTAACCTAACCCAGCCTTAACTAAAAAATTGAAATTAACCTAGTTTAGCCTTAACCCATAAAACTTAACCTAATGTAGCCATGATCCAAAAACTTAACCTGACCTAACCTTAACCAAACCTAACCTAACCTTAACCGAACCTAACCTAACCTTAATTTTGACCTAATACTTAACTTAACCTCATCCTAACCTAAGAAGCCTTGTCCCAGTTATAGTTTGTACAGTGGTAACCAAACACTAAATACACTTTACCATTTCTTCTCTGAATTGCTGAACTTGTTTTCTTTGGGAATTTAAACCGTGTGGGTAAAAGGCTGATTAAATTGTGTATTTTCTTTCTTCCTCTTCCACTTTTGTATAAGGTAACTCAAGGTGTTCAGAAACGACAAAGGGGAGAAGAAAAAAAGAATGATAGATGTTTGAACAGCAACAGCAAAGGACTAAAGATACAAGAAGAAATGCCGACATAAATTCCTTGTCATAATACAGTATTTATTCGATGAGGCACAAAAGGTGGTACTGTATATACTATAAATGATTCTGGTTTCGTAAGGTGGCATTTTCCCTCTCAAATCATAAACTTTATTCTTCCTACAACCTCTCCAAAGTCACGGCATTTATATTTTTTATTTAAAGTCTTATTTTAGACTGAAATTAAATGAGATCTTTGGTGGTTTTTAAGCCAAACTTTCTGATACGCAAGATTTTTTCTTTTCACCACAAGCCCTCATTCACTCTTTTTTTTTCTCACTTTTCACCACCACATCTTGACCCTGGGTGCTGCAAGCCCCGCCCAGCAGCGTGTTGACCCCGCCCCCTACTGGCCGTCGCCTTAGCCTGAGTCAGCGCAGCACAGTACCAACTGGTGGTGTGGTGAGGCGTCAGTAGTGTGTTAGCCTTACCCGACGAGGGTAGAGAGCGGTGCCTGCCTACACCCCTGCCCACTTGTTGTCATCATCCTAGCAAGCTTCATCACCTGAGTTGTCCGAGTGGGTAGCGAGCTCTTAAGTAACCTATTCTTGTTTCTTGTGGCAGCGTTGTGGCAAATGGAGAAAAAAAAATGCGGTGTGCATCATATTACGGATTTATTTTTAAGTGTCTTGTTTCACCGATGCCAAGACAGATACCACACACACGCGTATTGTGTTTGGACACTGATCATAGGTGTTGGGTTTTAATGTTCGTGTTCACTCATGTACATCTTTATTGAACATCCATAAAAAACTTTTCTATATACCTTGTGGTAAATAAATGACGTGGTTTGATTTGAATAATCTCCGATTAAAAAAAGTCGATGCGACGTTTACTGATTTAACTTGTATATAATTTATTGACATAATACCTTCCAATCATGCCCAGCTTTGTATCCCATTCTGGAATTTGAGACGCACGTGGCAGATTCAGTGTCTTGATTAAAAAGCAACACATTCAATTACGAATGTATTATTATTATACTGTATATATTTTCCCTTTCGTGAATTTAGGTGAGGCACATCACTACCTGTTTGACCTCCACACTACTGGTTAATGTTCACAGTAATGCTAATCGACGCCTCCAACCATATGTACAGTAATAGGTGCCTTTTATTATTATTATTATTGTATTTTTTTAATCTTATTATTTTTTATTATTATTATTATTATTATTATTATTATTATTATTATTATTATTATTTATATTTAATTTCTCAGGGGGCAAGGAGTTCATTTAGTCCAAGGTCGGGAGTCTTAACCATTCTTAAGTTATATTTTCCTCGTAAATGAAGATAAACGGTGCAGTTAAATGGCTTACTTAATTTTAGTCATAGGTATTAAGAACAAAATTGCACCAAGATTACTTTGAGACTTCCTTGACAAGATCGGTTGAGTTAATACAGCTAATGGGAGAAAGACAGGATAGAAGTTGCATCAGGGATCTGTGTGAAGGTGGAGTTGGGTAACTTGTTCAGGTCCTCCGTCATTGATACAGTAGCTGTTGTATAATAGCTAGTGAGTTTTTAGTACACGGATTACATCACATCTGTTTTTTAGTGATTTAAGTCCACGTATTACATTACTGTACATTATACCTTCATTTTATTTCAGTACAGTCACTACATAACATGTCTTTTAAATAATGTTTGTACACACATTACATTACTGTACATCTGTCCTTCAAATAATGTCAGTACACGTATTACATTAATATTTTTCCTTCAAGTAATGTTCGTACACCATTACTGTACATCCTGTCCACTAGTTTAATTTTTCTCCGTACAGATTTGGGGATAAATAGCACTATGCCAAAGCTGACTAGTTTGTGGAAAGTAGGTGAGGAAATTTATAGTTTTTACTGTCATGAATTTCCAGATAGACAAAAAATTTACCCTAATCTTAATTTTCTCTTCAACTAGCTAGTACAGTACAGTAGCTCGTAAGATATACAGTACAGTAATTCCTTGTTGGTAGTTGGTGATGATGTTAATTTTTTATACCAAAGACAAGAATCGACATGTTTTTTGATCCTTAAGATTTAATGTGTTACGAACCTTTTTTAATTTATTTTAAGACACTATTTTGTTTAAAGAGTTGAGAACTTTTTTTTATAAGTTTGAGAGTAGTCTTGCCCTTTTATAAGTTTTAAAAAGTTAAGATACTTTTTTGTTTAAGTCTTCAAGGGTTGATATATATTTTTTATTTTTATTTTTTTCTAAAGCTTTGAAGACTACTAACTTTAGAGAATTTTTCCGAGTTGACATAATGAAGTTTTAAAGTTTGACAAGCAACTATGAAAGTTTTAAAGAATTAGCAAAGCTTTTTTTTTATTTTTTTATTAACCTACTTTTCTTTTAGCTTTAGAGGTGACATACTTTAATTTTTTTAGTGAGTTGACATACTTTTATAAGTTCGTAGATATTTTATAGCATGAAATAGGTACACACTTTTTTAATTTCTAAAAAGTTGACAATCCTTTATTAGTCTTTATAAGAGGGTTTTAGCAGCTAGTTCCGGGGAGATCGCCTTGAAGAGTTTCATTGGGAAGTCATTGGGGGTGGTGGAGTGTTTTAACTTCAATTTGTCCAGACGTTTTGCTACAACAAATTCTTCTACCAAGTCAGTGGGAAAGGGGACTGGTAGGTAAGCAGGGGGAGTGGTTGTGTCAAGCCGTGGGAGCGTCTGGCATATAGTAGCGAAATGGTTATTTGATTGCTCAGCTGCATCAACATTAGTGAGATGGCTAAGGAAGGGGAGGGGGCGTGTCTTATTGTTTAGTCCACAGAGCTTACCATACCACTGACTAATGTTGGTCTGCTTCAGGTGTTGCAATTTGGTTGGGTAGAGAGACTTCTTTGCAGTGCGTATTTCGCGGATTACTTGGTTGCGAAGGGACCTGTAGCAGTTGTAGTCATTGAGATAAAAGGCTCTGTCTCTCTGTTGTATAAGCCTTTTGATCTGAGGTGTGAACCAGGGCAAGTCAGGTGGGTGAGATCTGACGGACTACTCGGGCAAGTGGTGGTGAGCTTCCATGGTGGTATTGGTATAATTTATCCATTTGGTATCCACGTCATCCACACTAACTACTTCAGTCCAGGGATGGTGAACTATCTACTGCCCTGTAGGTCTTGATGTAGGGTCTCTACTTGAGTGGGAGTGGCAGCTGGGGACCAGAGCACTGATAGGTGTGTGCTACACCCGATAGGAGGCATTGGTTGAGGTGGTTGGTACTGGTCCGCTAAGTCGGTTAAGATAAGGTCAAGGGTATTTTGACCGTGTGTGGGGTAGTTCACAACTTGTGATAGCTGGTCCTGGATATCAGTGGTGTCAATTTCATTATAATCCCGGCATAATACTAACTTGGCACAAGGGTACCTAACTCTGAGGTGGTAATGAGATGATTGATAAGTGTGTCTCGTGGGTGAGCCAGGTGGATGGTATGACACGCAGATTGTGATCGAAGCAGTGTGGCGCGATGGGCCCGTGGTACAACACGTACCCATAATGCCTCCACATCTGCTGGGACTTGAATATCCAGGCGTGACGGGCGTAGGTCATCTTGACAGAAGAGGGCAACCCCTCCCCCCCCGCGTCCATGTGAACGAAAATGATGAAAGAGTTGATATCCCTCAATATGACACGTTTCAGGCACAATTTGCCAAGCCTCACATATGGCAACGACGTTGGCAGCAACTGACCTGACTGTGGTTGCCAGCTCGTCAAGCTTATTAGCTAGGGAAGTAACGTTGGAGAGCGGTAAAGACGGGAGATCATACCATATCCATGGAACTTCAGTGTACTGGTAAGGTCTGTCAGGGGTGGGTTTCTCTGGTTTCCTAGTGGAGGTTATGGTCCTAATGGGCTTTTATTTATGACGCCCCTGTCTACAGCTGCACATGTGGAATTTGTTCAGTGACTTGAGTCGCCCTGTAACATTGCTATTAGGATAACTGTTCCCACGCTTTAGAAGGTACAGAGAGCAGCAGGAGCAAGTAATTGGTGGCCATCTGTTGATATCTGTTGTTGTGGACGGACGGAAGTGTTTGTCCCCGGTGGCCATAAACTCACTGGCGGCACTTTGAGGGCCACGGACACTGGTAGACATCTGTTAATATTTGTCAGTCGTAAACACCGTGAGTCCATGTCTCTGGCGCTTAGGGTCGCCGACACAGTATCCACGATATATGTAAACACCGCGGTGGTCCTTGTCACTGGCACTTTGAAGGTGACCGACAAAGTGCCCACTATCTTGTATTACACTGCTGTGTTTTTGTGCTTTTCCTTGGAGTGCACTATCGGAACACTGTTTGGTAATCTGTCATTGCACTGGTCACTTGAATGTTTTGCTGAATAAATCCCTGTGTAGTTAGGCTGGTAGGGCGTTGGGCTGGGGGAGCAGGGCCAAACAGACTCGGCCTGGCTGCCAAAACCGGGAGCGCCTTCAGGGCACGTCTTGTCTGGCTGATGGTTGACAAGTGTGTGAATGTATGAATATATATGTGTGTGTGTGTGTGTGTTATCAACAATTAATTCTTTCCCATTTAAAAGTCAAATGCAATCGTAAAATTTATTTATTTATAAAACATATGTTAATACAGAATCTTGCAGAAACTATGGTGTTATAAGTGTGAGATCAAGACCGTGTAATTAATTATTTGAAAGCCTTATTTGTCATTAATTTATTTTTGTCATTTATTATTATTGTTATTATTATTATTATTATTATTATTATTATTATTATTATTATTATTATTATTATTATTATTTATGCAGTGGCTATTCAGCCGCCACTGGTTGAATAGCCTGGTAGAGTACGCAACCGGGACGGCTACTTGACAGCTAGACTATATTCAGCCGTCACCGGTTGAATAGCCTGGTCTAATCAGTCGTGAACCTACGCTTGACAAGATCAGAAGTAAACAGAAGTTTTCAGAACGAAATGTGTTAGTTTAAACCTGTTGTGTATCTTGTGTCTAGGGAAGTTGTATTGTACACCTTTATTTACGGTAGGCAAAAAATGGGAAATCTGGTTAATTACCTGAACAATGTTACCAACTCAAACTGAATACCCGCCAGTTACCATCTCCTATTTATAAATTTCTCTAGATTTACAAGGGATTTTTCTTACATTCACTGTAAATAAAATTCGGGGTCACACCTTCCATTTGCTCAGTGGGTTGATATGAGAAGACATCACCCAGAAGCAGAATAACAAATGCAACTGAGACTTAAGTAAGTAAAGAGTGTTAAGAGCCTCAGACAGTGAACTACGGACTCTGTTACAAGGACCTGTGGGCTGGGCTAAAATTTCAAGTGTTTACATTGTGTGTTCAGAGGTAGCATTTACCAGATTAGTGCACACATCTTTCTTTAGCAGGGAGCCACAGGAGGACCGCACGAGTCTTGTACAAACAGCGACACGGTAGAAGTTAATAATCCAGCAAATTTTACATGCCAGACAGCTTGGTGGGAGAGGAGGGGTGAGGAAGAAAGGGGGTGTGTGGTGGTGGAGGAGGGGTGTGTGTGGTGGGGAA